TTTAAATTTAACGGAGTTCACGTCAACTAAATCAAAAGATAAGCGCTGCATTTTATTAATTATCAGCTCATTTCAAGATCAAAGACCGCAATAGGAGAGCGCGCAACATCAGCACTGAAAAGATAAGTTTGTCTTACTACTACTTTTAATGAAGATGATTGTTGTGTGTTGACCGTCTGCGTCTTACTTTTTAGTTTCATTCACAGCAGTTTGTGCGTCGGCTTGTTGAAGAGATACTCAGCTACTCGTCCGCGGTTATGCGTGTTACATTAGCGCAGTCTGACTAATGTCATATAGCCTATAACACGCTCTCACACGTTTATTATTTTAATATTTTGGGAGGAGTAAAATTTACATATGTGGTTTCAACAACCAGATGCATTTACACTGGTCCAGTTTCGTCTGGAATGCGGCCCAGACCACCTCCTGAAGTGGTTTGAGCGATCGGATTTATATCCGTCTTGAATGCGTTTCGGAGGGCATTTACACCTGGACTTTTCACGATCGGATAGCTTTCCGATCAGAAAAAATGCATGAAGTGACCAGGTGTAAACAGGCCCATAGTGAGTACAATTGACTAAAGTATATGAGAACAAGCTGTACAAAAAGTAAAGAAAGGGTAGAAAAGCAATACTCAAGTGCCTTGTCGGTGTCCTTGCTCGGTGGAGTCGCGCAGGTAGAGTTGATGCGACTTGAGCATGCGACAACCCTCTACATTGCGAGTAAATCACTCGCATATGCGACTAAATCTTCTCTCTGGGCGACTAAATGATGTCTAATATTAGCCAATGGCTAATAAATTCTCAGATTTTACTCGCCAGTGTGCAAGTAGGAGGCTAAGTATAAGTTTAGCACAGATATATTTTCACTCGCCGAACACTCTGACTGAGCGCTTTCACTCTCCGTCAAGTGATCTGTGCTATTTTTTTCAGTTCATCTGAATGGATGTGCAACGCTTCAGTTTAAAGCCCGTGCAGACCTCTATTACTGAGTAGAAATTATTTTGGGGTAAATTTTATTAATAGGAGGATATTAATAGGAGGAAGTGCTTTGTCAAAAGAGTGTGAAAACAAGCATTGACTATGAAATGGTTACCATGGGCAGGCGGGACTGCATCATCTGTAGGTCCTCATATCCATAGATTGGCTTTAGGGATGAGAAGGCATAGAAAGATCAGAAATGTGTACAAGTCAGGTCAACAAAATCTAAATAATAAAGTGAGTGTATATATAAAAATTTGGCTTCCTCTATCTGAGCGCAGATCATCCATACACTAACCGGATAAGCAGGAAGGAAGCCACCAGGACCCATGATATACTGACTGGCCAGCAGCGGCGGTACTCCTTGAGCCAGGTTAGGAGGAGCTTTACCTGAAGATATAGAAAATAAAAATTGGAAACAAGAAAACACTATTTACAGATTGACAATTATGCTAAAAATACTTCCAACTCTGCATGCAGTGAATGTTTTTGCGACTGACCAGAGGTGTTGGAGGGTGTGATGTTGGTCTGCAGTGGTGCAGAACGGACAGCAGAGGGAGCGGATGCGCCGTTAGCGTTGAGACTTTGGTTTCCAGCGCTCAGGCCATTTGAGCTGACCGTCGAGCTGGACACACTCGACACAGCGCCAGAGTACGTGGACAGGCTCACATTCACATCAGTGCCCATCTGCGTCTAAAAGAAGCATTTCAATTCAATTTAACACTGATCCAGTCACACTTTTCCATAATACAACCCTCTACATTGCGAGTAAATCACTCGCATATGCGACTAAATCTTCACTCTGGCGACTAAATGATGTCTAATATTAGCCAATGGCTAATAAATTCTCAGATTTTACTCGCCAGTGTGCAAGTAGGAGGCTAAGTATAAGTTTAGCACAGATATATTTTCACTCGCCGAACACTCTGACTGAGCGCTTTCACTCTCCGTCAAGTGATCTGTGCTATTTTTTTCAGTTCATCTGAATGGATGTGCAACACACCTGTATTTGACATACCGCATGACTCGCCGTCGCTTTGTTTCACACACACACGCAGAGAGAGAGAGAGAGAGAGAGAGAGAGAGAGAGAGAGAATTGACGCGCTACATGTAAACGGTATTATTTGTTATATTTTCCTGTCAAAATAACAGCGTTTCTTTGGAATTCTTCAGCTTTTAAGAACTGCCGCTTTCTCCGGTAGTGGGCGGAACTAATGCGCAAACGGCAATCTCATTGGCTGGCGTTCAGCTATTATCGTCCCTGTTTTGATTTCAGCAAATCAGTTCGAGCAAGCCCACACAACCTGATTAATATTCATGAATCCAGCAGCTTATTAATCCTTAGTGCGTTTTATATTGTTCTTATTAGTAGAATTGGTATCATTATTATCTTATCAGTATTTTTGTTAGTTTTTTCCACAATTGTTTTTTTACAGAAACGCTGAATGACCAAAAAAGCACCACCACCAGTCCGAAGTTCAGTTAAAATGACAAATATGCATTCATAAATGGTTATCAAGTTTTAATTCTAATTACTAAAGTTCTATCATTAAATAATACTTGATCATCATATTATAATGCTTGACTGACTGATATATGTATATGTATATAT